TTGGGAATTACTGAAATTTATGCCAAATTAACATTTAACATTTATTTTAGTACCTGAAAGAAATTTACCAAGTGGTAGGAGGGCCTTACTCCGTTTTTTCCCCTAGTGGAAGCCGAGTTTGCTCGTGAGGGTACAGATTCTACTACATACTTTAGTAGTCGATCTTCTTCCAGATCACCTATTATACCAGTATTTTACATAGGTATACAGTATCCTCTTTTATCGGCTGTTCTTGAGGTTCGTTCAGAATCGTCCGCAGAGATTCGCTGTCTGTAACACGAATTGTATAGTTAAAAAAATCACACAGTTTTGAATAGGAAGTACGTAAAAGAATCGATGCTGCGGAGGAAAAAGGGAGGGCGGCTGCGGAGCGAAAGGGGCCGGGTTTAGGTTCGGTGAAACGGAGCAGGATGCCAACAGATGGTCGCGCGACCACGTGTCCGTTCTCAAGAATCTTCCCGGTTCCTTGATCACAGGCTGTGCGATTAGATGCACGCGTAACGTACCCATTTAAGGAAGAACAAAATGAAACGTTGGTCACCGGTGACCCCCACGGCAGTCAACGTGTTAATAAAATAAAGGAATTTCTGTTTGATGCCAGTTTTTGCAAAGTAGACAAAAATCTATATTTGCATGAAAATCCACAGTCTATTTATAATAGAAGTGTTTATATTGGAGCTTATTATACGACGAACGATAAAACCGACGAGAAAGAAATATTTCTTCTTCGCTGTTATCGCAGCTCCAACATAATCGTACCCTTAGAAGGCCATATTTCTTAATCTCTCCAGAATCATATTTTCTCTACCTCGTTCACTCTTTCGTCTGAATGATAATCTGGCCCAGTTGCCGGCACAAGCTGCGGACGCGCAGGATATTCAACAATAGGAATATTTTCTGACGATCATTGATGGCTACGCGTTGGCGACTCCAGGGGGATGAAAGGATCCTATTGACCTGTTAAGGCGGAGGAAGAACTGGGGCCAGCTGTCCGAAGATCGTTGCAAGATCCTTCTCTCTCTGTGTGTATGTGGATCCTACATAAATCGTGCGCAGGCGGCGCAGCGTGGCTTTCTACGGGGAAACACGTGCCGGCCACATGTTGCACAAAAGGAATATCCTCCTCCCGTGGTCCTTTCGAGCGTCGTTGGCGCGCAAGTCCCGGTTCACAAAGGAGCTTTAGGAGGCCCCATAAATGATGATTCCCTTTCGGGGCCTTCGGGATCGAACGGCGAGGCGCACGGGGCAGATGTTCGCCGCCTTCGGAGACGTCGATCCGTTACGAACGGGGGATGATGCAGGCAGCCAGCCAGCGACCGTAGAATAGATGAGGAAGAAAAAAAAAGCAGTGAAATTTACGAGCGTTCTGGTATTCCCGATCGTGCAGCGTTCCTTCCGTTTAGAAGTTTTTTCTTCTCGATGGTATACTTAGTCCAGGCGTCGAGTGGGAGTTATGGCGGTTCGTTCATAGGAGAATATATGCTGCAGGCTGGATTCGAAAATTCTCCGATCGATCGGTCGATAGTGACGAAGCAAGGCAACTTGTGGTCACGTCTGTAATAATGATTGTTTTGTAATAACTGTTTGTGAATAGTTATAGTTAGACTGCGGATTATATGCATTTATAATGTGATAAATGGTAACACTAATGATCAGATCTAAAACATTCGCCTAACTATAAGTTGACGAAGCTGATCAAATGGTCATTGCCTCCCTTTGCTTATAATTACTGACTCGACTCATTGGATGACGAACGTACCACTGCATTCGACTTATTTTTCTTGAATTCATCGTCGACCTTCCTCAAGAAGAGCTCTATGCATCGTCGAACGAACGGACAAAAGTATAATCAGCGATTCTTCTTTTCTTGAATTCATCGTCGACCTTCCTCAAGAAGAGCTCTATGCATCGTCGAACGAACGGACAATAAGTGGGTCTACGCGCTTCCTGCTGCCTTTCTTCGGTCGTTTCCTCCCGTTTCTTCGAAGGGAATAGAATTCGTACCCGACCTGCTCTGCTCCCGTTCCTTCGAAGAATACACACCCCGGTTCGTTGCTTCGAATTTCTTCCTTGGGCGACGATGTACAGGAAACCGTGAAGGTACACCTGAAAAATAGATGAAATCAATCTTGTTCCACCCTCTGAAGCCCGAATAAACCACAAAGAAGGAACAATTCTACCTAAAAGTACCAATTCGAGGAATTATTTCTTGTAGCAATTTCGAATATCTCTGCTGAGTGGTCCAGAGAATCCAGGAAGCTGTTCTTCTCGGTTTCACGTAAAGGTCACTCGATACTCCCGGCGCATCTCAGGACAGTACTTTCTCACGAATTTTTTTTCTCGATGGCTGAGAACATTGTTCGAGATGCTTTCAGTGTTCA